TTGGCTTCAAAGACCAACTGTGAGTCATACACCTGTGAGCTCCATCTTTGTCAGACCTGACTCGTAGTCCAGTGATGGAGCATTTGTTGTACATACAGAAGGTCTCAGGATCAATCTTCAAGCAGAAGATCCCTGCTTGAAATCTTGGAGAGCTGTTGCCAGCCAGTGTAGACAATACAGAGCTCGATTACTGAGCTCGATCCTGACTCTGGCTCAGTCCTTGGTCCCGCAAGCAAGGTGACAAGGTGTCTTAATGGCAAGCACGGTTTGTGTCTCAAAGTGTCAGAGTGCCAGGCTTCAGGGAAACGGCGGCCTCCCTCCCTTTAGCCGTGGATAAGCAGAACAAAGCAAAAATACAGTGGTACCTCGGGTTACATACGCTTCAGGTTACAGACTCCGCTAACCCAGAAATAGTGCTTCAGGTTAAGAACTTTGCTTCAGGATAAGAACAGAAATCGGACTCCGGCGGCGCGGCAGCAGCAGGAGGCCCCATTAGCTAAAGTGGTGCTTCAGGTTAAGAACAGTTTCAGGTTAAGAACGGACCTCCGGAATGAATTAAGTACTTAACCAAAGGTACCACTGTAGTCTCTTAGCATTTAAAGAGATTTTAATGATCGAAGAGAAAGAACAAAGAGTCCATTCTCGGAGTAAAAGTGCTCCCAATTAAGGTTTCCACCAACTCCCCCCCTCGATTCACCCTCGCCTCTTCCTTGTCTTGCAACTTGATCTTGCAACCACTGTGCCTTCTGTGCAGCTACCTTATCTAATCTCCGTGACCTTGGACTGATCAGCTAGACACTTTCCAGTGAACCAGAGTCTCTCCCGGTTCTTCTAGCTGTTCACCACCCAGTTCTTCCCAACTTTTGTCTTCTGAACTATGTCCTTCTGTGAACCACTGTTCCAAATCTATACTGTCCCACTGCTCCTGATCAGGATCATCTGTGCAGCCCTCCTCAGAGGGACCATGAAGCCCCTCCATATATTTTCTTGTTCTCTTCACACAAGTCTGGCAGGAACACTTCCCACGCTCCCAGCAAAAGTGTCTTTTTACTCTCTCCTCTAAAGGTGCCTCCTGGCAGGTTTGCAAGCTGCATTCCCACCCCCAAAACTTGGCAATCTCCACCGCCATAACTTGACGCTGGAGGGTAAACAACATTGAGATGCAAAGGCAAAAAATGGAGCGAGGTTCTGCAGGCATGGTGGGATCCAAGACTCCATTAGCACCCCATTCCCTGGACGCATTTCCTTCACCCCATTGTCAGCTCGACATCCTTGTTTTGTTTTGTACACTAGGCTACTTTCTGCATGCACTCACACATGGCCATAGTTCCGTATCAGAGCACCTGCTTTGCATGCAGAAGGTTCCCAGTTTCAATCTCTAGTTAGGAGTGCGGAAGACCTCTGGTCTGAAACCCTGGAGAGCTGCTGCCAGTCAGTACAGGCAATATTGAGTTAGATGGACTAACAGTCTGAGCCTGGAGAAGGCACCTTCCTATTTTCCTTTGAGGAGGGCCATACTTGCATGGCAGAGGATCTGTTCTGCATGCAGAAGGTCCCAGGTTCAATCCCCAAAATCTCCAGGCAGGACTGGAAATGTCTCTTGCCTAAAACCATGGAGGACCACTGCCAGTCAGTGCGGAGAATGCCAAGCTAGTTGGACAGTGTGCTGGTCCCGGGGGGTTACCGTGCGGCATGGTCCGAGTCCAGTCCGAGGGTGTGGTATGGAGGCTGTCCGTCAAGGCTGAAGCGAGGTCCAAGGCAAGGAGTCGGGTGTGGTCAGGAACTCTGGCAGAAGAGCAGGACAGGGTGCTGGCAGGAACAGGTTACCTACGATGTTGCTCCCACAACCTGGGACTGGGCTGGCTGGCTTTTATCTCCTCTGAGGCATAGGGCAGCCCCGGTCCACAGGTGACTCGCCTCTCCTGGCCTGGAGGCAAGCACTCCTCCTGTGAGAACTTAGTTCCCTCCGCCTCTCTGCCCTGAGCCTCTGCAGCCCAGGAGAGGCTGGAGGGTTACCGGACCCAGAGGCAACCTCACCTTCCCCTGACAGGGCTGAGTGGAGCACCTGCAGGCAATGGGTCCTCCGTCACCTCAGGAGCCAGAGCAGATTCAGCTGGTGTCTGCTCCTAAGGATCCAGCACAGGTGAGGGCCCTTCAGGCTCAAGCCCCAGCCCCGGCTCAGCTGGTCCTGGAGGTGGGGACTCCTGTGCAGGCTGGGATTCCTCAGGTTCAGCCTCTGAATCCGATTCCCAGGCCATCACAGACAGCTTCTGTGCTACCAAATATAACAGTTCTTTCCAAGAATGTCAGGACAAAAGGAATGAGGAGGTGGAAGGGGAACCAAAACAGTTTTATTAACAAATAAACAGCAGGCATGCAAAGCATAAAATAAAACATACCCGACACGGGCTACCCAATCTCCCCTTCAGCTGCCCGGAGCCCTAGATAGAGCAGCAGGAGAAAGACCCCGACCACCAGTCTCCCAGCATCAGGTCCTTTGATCTGGGTAGAAGCTCTCTGGGCCCCTCCCACCTATGGCTTTTATAGCCTGCCTTGATGTAATCAAGTGCACCTGGCATTACTCATGATTAGCCCAGGACCCTGAGATGGAATTAATACAGAGCGGCTGAGAGTCTCCCACTACCTGCAGCCGGGCATCCAGCCAGCACCTGCAACACAGAAGAGCCCAAGAAACTCCCGACAGGTGTGTGAAACACAAGAATCCAGCAGACCTCAAACTGCGGATGTTAAAGGGAAAGGGACATGCCACCTAACTCCTCGAAATACAATTGTCTTAGCATTTCCACTATAGCTTCCTATGTCCCTGTGTTCTCTCTCCTCCTCCAACCCAGTCTCAAGCCAGAATTATTATCAGAGTTCAGGGACACATTCCAGCCAGGCAAAAACACTCAATTCTATCTTATAATCAATTTCATTTTGATGTCTATTTGTACACCCACCTGGCACCCAGTTCGTTTTGCCACAGCCTTCTGATGACTTGGTAACAGAGAGGCGGGCTCTTTCATTGGTGGCACCATTGCTGTGGAATGCCCTCCCAGCTGAAATGCAAAAAGCCTCATCAGTATTGGCATTCCACCGGCCCTTAAAGACACACCTGCTTATTTCCTTCTCTCCTGACTTGAATCTTTAGCTGTGATTCCTGCATTGCAGGGAGTTGAACTTGATTTGGGTCCCTCACAGCTCAACCGTTCCACTATTCTGTCTCCCGCTTTGTTTGTTAACTGTTACACTGTTTTAATGGACATGTTTTAATTGTGGAAGTTGTAAAGTAGTTTATTTTACTAGATATTTTATTTACGGGTAGCTGTATTTTCAGAACTGATTTTATCCTTGTTAGTTGGCTTTTATTTGTTTGTGAACTGCTGTGATATTTCTTCTTGACATGAAAGGCAGCAAACAAATTCTAACAGTAGTAATAGTAGTAGTAATAATAATAGTTTAAATTTGGATTGTTGGATTAGTCTTACTGTTAATGCAAGTTGATGTTAAGGCAAACATAACTGACCAGTTATGCAAGTGCATTTTGTAATTTTATAAGCTGTGTGACTTGGTTGCTCAGCTCAGTCTTTTTACACGATCTTTTAGGTGCTGTGGTCTTTTAGGTCTTGTGACTTTGTTGTTATTTTTATTGATTACAGTCTAGTAATGATTTGTTGTAATCGTTGAGGGTGAATTTCTGTTTCTTATTTGCTGGTATTTTGAGAGTCAATGTTCTTGTGCAATATTATATTTGAAATGAATTGTTGAATGCTACTTTATTTGATGTGAGTTTATTTTAAAGCCATGTGACTTATTTGCTTTGGATTGGATTGTTATCAGATGTGTGACCTTTGTTTGTATATTTTGCGGCTTCAACGGCTCGTACGCTGCCTTGTGTACAGCAACATGGAAAGGCAGCATGCGAATTAAATGTGAAATGAAAATGAAATGCTGGTCTATTTATTTTCTTTCTGCAATATGTATACTTGAGTTCATAATGGCCTGGCTTGATGGCACTGTGTTTAGTAAGTGGTGCTGACTGGGGAGGGGAGGGGGGGTTGAGAAGCAGCTCTTGCCAATGATTGGCTAATGTCGGGGGAGAGCGAGAGAGTCAATGAAACTGCCTGCAAACCCTGAAGCACTGCACAGCGATCGGAGCCGGCTAAGAGCGAGGAAGCATCTGATGTAGACTAAAGCCAGGGAGATGCAGCACCCTCCCATTAAACTCAGGATCTGTCCTTCTGCGCTCACCGCTGTGCATCGCTGGGATCCTTGAACAAAGCAAAGAATCTGGTCTGCTGATGTTTCTGGGGGATTTTGGAAAGAAAGAAAAAACTTTGGCAGAGAGAAATTCTGCCTTCCAGAACTGCAGGAGAGAGAGAGAGAGGAGGAGGAATGATTCAAAGTCCAAAGACTGATTCTCGAAAAGGTGACTGCTAGATCGCTCCTTCTGAAGAAGCTGTGTGGAAGCTGATTTGAGCATCATGGGTTGTCCTAGAACAGGGCAGGGACTCCTGTAGAACGAGACATCCCAGCGGAAAGCATGCCTGCAACAACCCACGTTCAAGTGTGTGGCTTCTCCCTCTCTTCCCAAACTTCCAGCTAGAGCATCTCTGCTTGAACAGAAGATCTGGACAAAGCCCAGGGCGAAGATCAACTTCTGTGGGAAGGAGGCTGGGGGACAACCAGACATTGGAAACGCCCACCAGGACTCTTGGTGGGTCTTCTCCACCCCATTCCATTTAATGCTTGGTGTTGGCCAACTGTGTAGAAGTGCAGCACTGCTGGATCAAAGCCCATCAAATCCAGCAGAAGTCAGCCAGATCCTGCAAGGAAGCCTACACAGATTCTTTTGAGAAGCCTACATTAGCAACAACTTTCTCTGTTCTGAAGGTGTTCCAGGTTGCAGGGCAGAAAAGAGCAGGGGGATTTTTTGAAAAGAGAGATTTTTCGGTCCCTGGAAACCTTGTTTGATCCCTTCAATAATGTCTGATCAGGAGATGGATGACTATGATATGGACAGCCTGTCTGACACATCGCGGATGATCAAGGGACTTCCGCCTTACAACATGGATGATCAACTGCTGCCCATGGAGCGCCGTAGCACCTGCGGCTGCTGGGCCTGGACATGCCTGGTGGCAGCAATGAACTCTTTGGCCTTCCTCTTGAACTTCCTCTTGATGGCCACCATCTTTGCCATCGTGCTCCTGCCCACCATTGTGGTGGTCTATTTTGGGTTCCAGTGCCATTCCCGGGTAAGTGATATGCGACTTGCAGATGCTTCTGGTTAGGAAGCCCAGTCCCTCACCTTGCATCAGGGGGTTAGGCAACATGGTGCTCCCCTGCCCCATATAGCTGGACTAGGGATGCATGTGGCACTGTGGTCTAAACCACTGAGCCTTTTGGGTCTGCCGATCGGAAGGTCAGCGGTTCGAATCCCCGCAACGGGGTGAGCTCCCATTGTTCTGTCCCAGCTCCTGCCAACCTAGCAGCTCGAAAGCATGCCAGTGCAAGTAGATAAATAGGTACCGCTGTGGCAGGAAGGTAAGTGGCGTTTCCACACGTTCTGGTTTCCGTCACGGCGTTCTGTTGTGCCAGAAGTGGTTTAGTCATGCTGGCCACATAACCTGGAAAGCTGTCTGTGGACAAACGCCGGCTCCCTCGGCCTGAAAGCAAGATGAGCACCCCAACCCCATAGTCACCTTTGTCTGGACTTAACTGTCCAGGAGTCCTTTACCTTTATAGCTGGACTACAACTCCCATCATCCCATACCACGGGCTCTGCCGTTTGGGGCTGATGGGAGTTGTAATCTGAGAGGCACAGATTTCCCACCCCTGGCCAACTGTTCTTAGAATGGCTGATAAGATCATAGAGTTCTCAAAGCATTTTTTCCTAGGGTGGCGTTTTCCTGCATTAACTTTACCCACACATTTATAAAAGGATGGATGAGCTGGGCAGGACGTGATTACTAAATGATGAAAGATGTCACCTCTGCACACTCCCAGATGCCCCATAGTCTGTGTTATTCTTTCACATGTTCCCAGGATGAGTCTTTGCATTCAAACAAAGAGGCTCCAGAGATAGTGGGAGGCCACATACCTTACTCCCCAAAGTGGCAGCAACTTGGCCCCACCAGAGGTTTGTGGACTACAAATCCCATCACCCTCTACTCACTGGCTATAGTGGCTACAGCTGATGGAAGCTGTAGTCCAATAACATAATGGTGGGGGAAAAGACCACCTCTTTCTGTATGAACCTACCCAGACCCTGAGATCATCTTCTGAGGCCCTTCTTCATGTGCCTCCTCCTTGAGAGGTCCAGAGGGTGGCAACACGAGAACGGGGCCTTTTCTGCAGTGGCTCCCCATCTGTGGAATGCTCTCCCCAGGGAAGTTCGCCTGGTGCCTTCATTATACACCTTTAGGCACCAGGCAAAAATGTTCCTCTTTAACCAGGCCTTTGGTTGATCCGATTTACATCCTATGCCCTTTTAAAATGTGTTTTTTTTGGGGGGGGGTATTGAGTTGCTGTTTTTATTTTTATTAGGTATTTTGTGGTTTTATATCTTGAATTTATTCTGTGAACTGCTCTGAGACCCCTGGGTATAGGGCAGTATATAAATTCAAATAATAATAATAATGGTTTCATTTTCCTTTTATTGGGAGGTTATGGCGGGTCTTGTATAAAAAAATTAATATCTTCTGTAAAACTTTTTTTTGTGCTTTCAGTTTAGCATGACGCTGTTTTAGTTTAGGAAGAACATGTTGGGTAATGGGAGACATCATAGAGACTTATCGATCATGGAGAAGGCAGCATTGATGGAATTGGCCTCCTCCCTTGCCTAAAACATGCTTGGAGGCAGTGCTTCTTAAAACAGGAATGGGGAACTTTAGGCCTGGGGGTCCAGTGTGGCCCTCCAGGCCTCTCCAGCTGGCCCCTGGAATGCTCCCCAAGCCTCACACCCCAGCAGCCCTGCCAGGCTGGACTCTGATAAAGTCTCCTGTTTGCCTGGATGGAGGCTAGAGAGGGGTGTGTTAGTGCGTGCTGAAATGGCAAAGATAAAAGTTATATTTGTGCCTCTGCCCACTTTTGCTCCTGGCCCTGCCCACCACTGCCATGCGGCCCTTGGAAATCTTCCAGAAGGGAATGCAGCCATCCAACCTCTGCTTTAAAACGTCCCTTCAAAGAAGGAGAGTCCCTCACCTTCCAAGCTATCCCGTTCCACTGGGATGGGATAGCTCGGAAGACAGCTCTTGCTTTCAGAAAGTTCCTCCTAATATTTAGTTGGAATCTCCTTTCCTGTTACTTGAAATCCATTGGTTTGGTTCCTACCCTCTGGAGCAGTAGAAAACAAGCTTGCTCCACACGGCAGCCCTTTAGATACTTGAAAATGGCTTTCTTATCACCTCTCAGTCTTCTCTCCAGGCTAAACATAACCAACTCCTTCAACCCTTCATCATATGGCTTGGTTTCCAGTGTGTCAAATTTCATTGTGTTAACATTTAATTATATGTGTCATTTTGTATGTTTATGCTGTAAACCACCCTGTGATTTTTGGATGAAGGGCCGTATATGAATTTAATAAATAATGATAATAATAAATAATATAGAAAACATTGGCTGGGGCTGATTGTGGGCTGGCAGGGCAGAGTGCAGGGAGCCCAAACAGTGGGTGGAGCCAGAGCCAATGATTGGCTGAGTCAGAGCCACTAATATGCAGAGGCAACTCATTCTAGTTCTTCATCTGCTCAAGGCAACATTGAAACTAAGGAGGTCAAACACCACCCTCTTGGTCTGGATGCAAGTAAGAAGGCGAGCAAATGGGGGCTGGCTGAGGACAGACTGAGGTTGGTGGATCAGTTAACCATACTAAGGGGCCAGTCTCCATTGGAAGCCAACACCACTCCAAATTTTCAGCACCAGCTAGCAATGGACAGCGCCAATTTGCCAGTACCTTTCTCAGGATGTGGCTTTGACATTTCTCATTCTGCGGCTTCACACTCTTCTGTTCTAACAGTTCATTAGGTTGCAGAAACCTGACTGGACTAAAGCTCTGGCTTAGATGGGGTGTGAGAAGCTGAAACTTGGTCAAGAAGAAGGGTGTGTGCAGTTCTCATTTTAAAGTCACTAAATGCAGGTGGACTTTCACGGGGACTTTTTGCTTTATTAATTGCAAACTGATGCAAAAATCTGACGAACTAATTTAAGGCTGGGAAAATGAGAAACGGAAATGGATAGATTGGTCTGTCCTTATGCTGAGCAGGATTCCCCTTTTATTGGCGAATAATGCCACTGAAATCATCAGGGCTCAGGAAAGCATTAGTAAACACACCAAATCAGTGCCGTCCTATGCATGTTGATTTGGAAGTAAATCCCCACTGGGCTGTATCAAACGAAGAGTAGAGTCACAAAAATGGACATAAAAAGAGCCTGTTGGATCAGGTCAATGGCCCATCTAATTCAGCATCCTGTTCTCACAGTAGCCAAACAGATGTCCTGATGAGAAACCGTCCAGCAGGACCCAAACACAAGGGTCCTCTCCACTCCTGAGGTTTCCAGCATCTAGTATTCAGAAGCCTCCAACTGAGACATAATGGCCAGTAGCCACTGATAATAGATTTAAAGTTGCCCAGTCCTCCTTTAAAGCCATCCAGGTTCGTGGCCCTTCACTGCTTCCTGGGGGAAGTGAATTCCATAGCTCAACCACTCCCTACGTGACAAAGTCCTTTCTTCCGTTTGCCCTGAAATCTAATGTTCTAGGAGTTCTAGGGAGTCTATGAGTTCTAGGGATAAAAGCTTTCCTCGATCTATGTTCTCCATGCCATGCATAATCTTAGAAACGTCGATCATGTCATGGTCTAGGATGCATGTGTTGGGGTACGGCGTTTATCCTTGAATACTCTCCAGAATCCTTTAACATGAGAAGAGCCAATAATAATAATAATAATAATAATAATAATAATAATAAATAATTTATTTATACCCTGCCCATCTGGCTGGGTTTCCCCAGCTACTCTGGGTGGCTCCCAACAGAATATTAAAAACATGATAAAACATCAAGCATTAAAAACTTCACTAAACAGGGCTGCCTTCAGATGTCTTCTAAAGGTCAGAAAGTTGTTTATTTCCTTGACATCTGAAGGGAGGGCGTTCCACAGGGCGGGAGCCACTACCGAGAAGGCCCTCTGCTGGATTCCCTGTAACTTGGCTTCTCACAGTGAGGGAACCACCAGAAGGCCCTCGGAGCTGGACCTCAGTGTCCGGGCAGAACGATGGGGGTGGAGATGCTCCTTCAAGTGTAGATCAGGCCAAAGGCCCATTGAGTTCAGCACACTCTTCTTGCACTGGCCAAGCGGATGCCTCTGGGAAGCCCATAAGCAGGCCCTGAGCACAACGGCAACTCTCCCCTTCTGCAGTTTCCAGCAACGGGAATTCAGAAGCGTTACTGCCTCCAACCATGAAGCAAGTGCATAGCCATCAACTCCCAACATCATGCTTGCTGGGTCAGATGAGAGTTGTAGTTCAACAATATCCCGAGGGCCAAAATGTCCCTACTCCTCCTGCAGATTTAAGAAAAGCAAGCGTGAAAGTCAGAGCCAGGAGATGTGGGGAGGAAAGCAAATTATTATGCATTCTTTAAATTAAAAAAAAAAAAGCCCACGAAAATAGCTTTGCAGTAATTACCAAACCTCTGTGACAATCTGGATAAATACAGTAACGTCTCGGCTGACAGATGATCCTTCCCAGCGCTGATTACTCACCACAATTTTTTATTTTATTGTCACAATATTTCTCTCCATTTCCTCGCCACCCTCGATTCCCTCCCCGCTTTTGCCAGCAGCCCGCCTGCTCTCCTGCTTTTGTCTGCGCTTGCCTTCACGCAGGCTGAAATCTCTTTAATTTCATTTTAATTAAGGCTGCTCCCTGCTAGATGCGGCCTCTGCAATTCGTCTATTCAATTAAACAGAGAAAGGAAGAGTGTGTGTGTTTTGGGGGGGGGGGGGTATCCGGCCACTGGCAGCAACCGAAGAAACAGAATCCACCCTACAGCTGCGGATCCCAGAGCGCTGCGCGGGCTTCCTTCCCAGCCTCCGCTGGACAACCTGCAATTTATTCAAATTGACAAACTAATTTCGTTCTCATTAGGTATTCCGCACATGGGCTGTGCATGGATGCACTGCTCTCTGATTCTTCTGTTAAGGGGAGAGATGAGAATATTTGGCTTCGTTTCTCCCTTCATCATTCTGCCTTGGGGCTGCTGAGGAGCTTGTGCTTGCCGACTCAAGTTTTGATAGTTCTCAGATTCCCCACCCCTTGTACAACAGTTGCGGGGGGAACATCAGGCTCCTCTACAAATGTGGCTCTGCAATTTCTCTCTCTCTCTCTCTGGCCCCTGGGATTCTCCCCCAGGCCCCTCCCTTCTCTCTAGGCCTTCCCTCACTGTGAGATGGGAGGTTACAGGGATCCAGGCAGAGGACCTTCTCGGCAGTGGCCCCCAAGCTTTGGAACACCCTCCCATCTGATGTCAAAGCGATAAATGTTATAAGACCTTCCATAGAAATCTGAAGGCAGCTCTGTATCGGGAAGCTTTTAATGTGTGATGCTCTGTTGTGTTTGTGTATATGCTGTTGGAAGCCACCTAGGGTGGCTGGCGCAACCCAGTGTCAGGGACCACGCTGAGGAGGGCTACACTGAGGAGGAATGGGGGGGTGCCTCCCCCTCCCCCTGCTCCTGATCAGGATCCTGAATCTTCCCAGGAGCAGGACAGTATAGATTTGGAACAGCGGTTTGCAGAGGGACATAGTTCAGAAGGCAGAAGCTGGGAAGTACTGGACGGGGAACAGCTAGGAGGAGGAGAACTGGGAGAGAGAGGGTTAACAGATTCACTGTCTCTGGAAAGTATTCACCTGCTCAGCCCAAGGTCAAGAAGGGCGGATAAGGTGGCAGCCTAGAAAGCACAGTGGTTGCGAGATCAGGTTACGAGATGCGGTAGTGATGTGGGTGACTAGGGAGGAAGTGGGTGCAACCCTTAATTGGGAGCACCTTCATTCCGAGGAATGGATTCTTTGTTCTCTCACTTTGATCATTAAAGTTTCTAACTGGTAAGAAGACTCCTTCCTCTTTGTCCTGCTTATCTACTGCCAAAGGGGGCGGGGAGAGAGCTGATTCCCTGAAGCCTGACTCCCAGTCAGATGGACTGAGTACAAAAAACTTATTATTATTATTATTATTAGCCACACCCTTCACTGGCTCTGGGAGGTCTCTGTTCCAGCTTTCCCCTCCTTCAGGTGCCCTTTGCAGCGTGACTGTGCTGGCAAAATTGGGGTCCTCTTCCAGCCTCTCACCCACCCACAAATCCTCGAGCCTCTGGAGCTGCCCTCAGCTCTTCAATGATTAAAGGCTTCCTTTCTCCTTTTATCTTTTCGGTTACTCTTGAACTGATTTAAGAGCGTCTGCGCTGAAGCAGCTTCGAGGCACTAACTTACCGTAAATAAAGTGCCAGAACGAAGGCGTTCAAACGGCCTCGGTGTGCGGTTTTGTTTCGTGAACAAACCCTGGGATCAAGGGGGGGGGGTATAAGGCAAAGCCATTTGTGTGGCTCCGTACAGCTCGAAAAGCAGGCGCTCCTACAATTTGTTGATCGGGAGATTAATTGCGCATTGATTGCTGCTGCTGATCCAGCCCTCGCCTGGGAGACAGTTGTGGTTGTTTGCTTGAGATGGCTTTGCCATCATTGAGGAGGCAGCTTGCTCAATTGGGCATCCAAGGGAGTTGCTGGCTAATAAAATGAACAAATGAGATGGGTTTTGCGGCAATCAGTCCCTGCGGAGAAGGGGCTGCATGCGTTGCTTGTTTTCCACGCCAGTGGAAATTTCCTTATGATAACCAAACCAGCCATTTCTGATTATACACGGGGTTTACAAAGGGAGATCTCTGTTTCCCTGATTCAGTTCCATTGGAACATGAAAATCTGCCTTATTCTGAGTTGGTCTATCTGGCTCAGTATTGGCATCTTCAAATATGGGACACTCCCAGCCATACCTGGAGAGGCTGGGGATTGAACCTGCAACCTTCTACATGCAAAGCAGATGCTCTGTCACTGAGCTATAGCCCTTCCCTGAAGATATAGGAACATAGGAAGCTGTTGTATACTGCAGTATCTCAGACCCTCCATTTTCCTATTTTCCAGGGACAGTCCTGGATTTACAGAAGCCATCCCGGTTTCTAATTTGATCCCGGAATGTCCCACTTTTCCTTAGGACGTCCCATCAAGCCAAGGAGATAAGCATAGCTGTCAACTTTTCCCCTTTTTTAAGGGAAATTCCCTTATTCTGAATAGGATTCCTCGCAAGAAAAGGGAAAAGTTGACAGCTATGGAGATAAGTAACTATACAACCTTTAGGAGACATCTGAAGGCAGCCCTGAATAGTTTCATTAGGTTTTTATAGATGTTGGAAGCCACCCAGAATGGCTGTGGCAATCCAGTCATATGGGCAGGGAATAATAATAATAATAATAATAATAATAGGACATCCCTATTTTCTTTCGGACGTGGGTGGCGCTGTGGGTTAAATCACAGAGCCTAGGACTTGCCGATCAGAAGGTCGGCGGTTTGAATCCCCGCAACGGGGTAAGCTCCCGTTGCTCAGTTCCTGCTCCTGCCAACCTAGCAGTTTGAAAGCACGTCAAAGTGCAAGTAGATAAATAGGTACCGCTCCGGCGGGAAGGTAAACAGCATTTCCGTGCGCTGCTCTGGTTCGCCAGAAGCGGCTTAGTCATGCTGGCCACATCACCCGGAAGCTGTACGCTGGCTCCCTCAGCCAATAAAGCAAGATGAGCGCCGCAACCCCAGAGTCGGCCACGACTGGACCTAATGGTCAGGGATCCCTTTACCTTTACTATTTTCATTGGAGAAATGTTGGAGGAAATATCTAGCTCAGTAGCGTCCATGCTGACTGGCATGTCCAGGATTCCAAGCAGGGAACATTCCCATGCCTGTCTGGAGTTCTTGGGATGGAACTGAGTCCTGCCACATGGGAAGCAAATACTTTACCACTGAGCCGTGCGATGTGGAAGAGTCCTGAGTGCCATACAGAGAGGCTTAGGGGCCATATTGGTTCCCTCCGTGTGTGTGTGCGTGCTGGATTTATGTATAAGCTAAACAAGCTATAGCTTAGGGCCCCACTCACTTGGGGCTCCAAAAAAATTTAAAGGGAAAAAAAACTGGATGTACATTTCCAAAATATAAGATAAAAAATAAAATAAAACCTACATGCAGCAACAGTGGCAAATGGCTTTAGATATCTATTAGGTCCATAAATTACCGTATAGCATATATTCAACACAAAAAACCAGCAACAATTTGTCGTTGACAAAGGACAGCTGGACATATAAAGGTCCCCATTACCTTCAGTAGCTTAGGGCCTCATCAAACCTAAATCCGGCCCTGGTGTGTGTGTGTGTGTGTGTGTGTGTGTAGATAACTAGATAGAGAGAGAGAGAGACAGATAGAGAGAGAGAGAGATAGAAAGCACCTGTCTCCCAATGTGGGCTTTAAGGCAGCTTACAACATTGAAAAACAACAATACAAAGTAATAGGAGCAAACTAGTGAGAAAGAATGAATAAAAGACATAGAACACATTTAGAACCAGCAATTAAAATATAGTTTGTCCTGCCAGCAGCCCATTATCAGTGCTTTGTTTTTTTAAGAAGAAAAAGTTTCCAGTACTCACCAAGGCGTTGTTAGAGTAAGTGCCACACTTTTAACCTTTTTTGGGGGGAGGTGCCAGTACTGAGTACCCTTGAGTACCCCACACATCTTACTGGGTTGCCCTAGCCACTCTGGGCAGCATCCAACATAGATAAGAATGTAAATCCCTATCCAGGATTGCCTTCAGAAGGCTCGGGGATCGGATAGCTCCATACCCTCCAACATTTCTCCAATGAAAATAGAGACGTCCTAAGGACAAGCGGGACATTCCAGGAAACCAAGATGGCTTCTCTAAATCAGGGACATCCCTGGAAAATAGGGACATTTGGAGGGTCTGCTATCTGTCTAGCTTTCCACCTACCTACCTACTTACCTACCGAATCTATTTATGCAGAGGTCAGCAAACTTTTTCAGCAGGGGGCCAGTCCACTGTCCTTCAGACCTTGTGGGGGGCCGGACTATATTTTGGGGGGAAAAATGAATGAATTCCTATGCCCCACAAATAACCCAGAAATGCACTTTAAATAAATGGGCACATTCTACTCATGTAAAAACACACTGATTCCTCAATCGTCCGCAGGCTGGGTTTAGAAGGCGATTGGGCCGAATCCGGCCCCTGGGCCTTAGTTTGCCTACCCATGTTTTATGTCTCGAGAGAGAAAGAGAGATTTGTTGATGATGGCAAGTTTAATTTCCCTTTCCCCTTCCCTGCAGAACTTTCATACTTTTGCCTTTGGCTGAACAGGTTTGTCAGGTTTGTCAGCCGCTTTAAGAACCTGCTGCGCCTCTTTGACCTGCAGGAAAAGTGGGTGGAAAGAACAACGGGACGCCATACCTCCCTCCAAACACAATTAGCTCTTCTAAACACAGCTCCGTCTCTCTTCCCTCAAAAGAGTAAGGGAATAGCTCGATGCTGTTTCAATCTGTACAGTCTCTGTGTCCCTCACTCCCCCCCTTTTATTTTATTTTTTTAGCTTCCTCCTTCCAAATATTTGTTAGCGCTGACATTTTCTCAGCCACAGAGGAGCAAGACTGCCTACCTCATTGGGGTTGTTTACTGTCAGCGTTCCACGGAATGAGGAAGCTCTCCAAGATTTTATAGGTCCTAATTACCTGTCATGCAGGAGATCTCCCCATCCACCATCTCAGCACATCCTGAAAGCCTATTGTTAAGCAGCCAGAAAGGTGTGGAGAAATGTTATGGGGGGCTGGAGCAACTTGCTGGAGAAGAAATGGCAAGATGTTTGGGGAAAATAGGAAGCTGCCTTGTACAGAGTCAAACCAGGGGGTCTGTGTAGCTCAGTATTGTCTGCACCGACTGATAGAAACTCTGCAGGGTTTCAGACAGGGATTGCACCTTGGAAAGGACCATTAAAGGCCACATATTTGTGGGATGCGGGTGGCACTGTGGGTTAAACCACAGAGCCTAGGGCTTGCCGATCAGAAAGTCGGCGGTTCGAATCCCCGCAGCGGGGTGAGCTCCTGTTGCTGAGTCCCAGCTCCTGCCAACCTAGCAGTTCGAAAGCACGTCAAAGTGCAAGTAGATAAATAGGTGCCGCTCTGGAGGGAAGGTAAACGGCGTTTCCGTGCGCTGCTCTGGTTCGCCAGAAGTGGCTTAGTCATGCTGGCCACATGACCCGGAAGCTGTACGCCGGATCCCTCGGCCAATACAGCGAGATGAGTGCCGCAAATCCAGAGTCGGTCACGACTGGACCTAATGGTCAGGGGTCCCTTTACCTTTTATTTGGACTGGGTAGTCTTCCTAGCTTTGCCGCGTCCTTTAGATCTATTGTTTGGTCCTGATTTCTGGATTTGCCTCCCCCAAGCTCCAAATCACGGTTTCCCCCTCTGCTCATTCTTCCTTGTCCCTCGTCTCCTCGCTCCTTAGTGGGTCCTGCAAACTGTTATTCTGAATAATCCCTTTTTATTGGGTAGGGGGCATTAGCTGGAGATGAGTTTATGGAGCCAAGGGGTCAGTGGCCTCCAAATGTTTGGGAACTGCTGGTTTCTTTTCTTTAGGCTTGCCTGTTGCCTGTTCCTTCTCCTTTTTATTTTTAAAAAAGCCACTGACCACTTTAGCAAGGGGGGGGGCGTCAACAAATGCCCCCTCTCCATTTAGCAGCTCCGCTCTCAAAGCCTGCCTGGTTCTTTCTCTAACAGACCATCCTTCTCGAAAAGGGTTATCCAAACCTTTGCTTTTGTCCATTAAATAATATTCTCTCTATGTGCTTTGGGGCTTTTCTTTTTTCCTGTGCCATTTTCAAAGCAGAGGGTGGCGAGGAAGGAGAAAGCTTTCCTCTCTCCCTGCATTAGGCTCTGCCTGATGAGCAGATCCTTTCGCTGGACTAATGGCTAAAGTAGGCAGGCCTGAAAAGGAATCAGTCACGATGCCTGCAAGGCCGCCTTTTCTCTTCACCTGTCCTTTTTTTGTTCTGGCTGCCTTTCCAGACCCTTTTCATTTCATTTCATTATTTAGATATTTATAGACCACGCTGTTCAGGAAAAATACAGCGAGATAGCATAGAACGTGCAAAATTACAAGAAGATCACTTTTTTTAAAAAAAAACCAATTAAAAGCTGGTTGGGGGGAAAGCGGAAATCACATTTCAAAGTCCTGCCTGAGTAACACAGTTTTCCGAGAGAAGCGAAAAGGTAAGGCAAGGAGCGTTCTTGCCCAGATTCAACTGGCAGGGAGTTCCACAGGGCATTGCCTTCAACACCAGTAAAGGCTGACTGAACCTTGGGAGTGTGGGGAGACAGAGGATTTCAATGACCAAGGTGGAGAATAAGGAAACCGGATGGTCGTTGAGGCACCGCTTGAGCCCAGGTTGTTCCAGGCTTTGTGATTAACACAAGAACCTTGAACCTGCCCAAAGTGATGACAAGCAGAGAAGTAATATGCCACCAGTAGCCTGCTCCTGGGACCAGTGTGGTCCCTACATGCTGCACTATTTGCATCTTCTGGCATGGATACAAGCAGCAGAAGTTGGATGGCCATCTGTCTTGGATGCTTTAGCTGAGACTCCTGCATTGCAGGGGGTTGGACTAGATGATGCTCAATATAATAATAATAATAATAATAATAATAATAATAATAATTTATTATTTGTACCCTGCCCATCTGGCTGGGTTTCCCCAGCCACTCTGGACGGCTTCCAACAAAGATTAAAAATACATTAAAATATCAAACATTAAAAACTTCCCTTCCAACCCTAGAATTCTATAATTCTACGACTGCCCCACACAAAGCATGCCCGTTGTGCCTTCGGGGTGGCTTGTGCTCATGATGTTATTGGGGTGGTTATATGCCAGGGGTCAGCAAACTTTTTCAGCAGGGGGCAAGTCCACTGTCCTTCAGACCTTGTGGGGGGCCGGACTATATTTTGAAAAAATATATGAACGAATTCCTATGCCCCACAAATAACCCAGAGATGCATTTTAAATAAAAGGACACATTCTACTCGTGTAAAAACACGCTGATTCCTGGACCGTCCGCGGGCTGCATTGAGAAGACGATTGGGCCGGATCCAGCCCCCGGGCCTTAGTTTGCCTACCCGTTATATGCAATCACACTTTCAGAGTTGTCTGCCTTGACCTCAGAACCGTCCCCTGGCCTCACCCCTCACTGGCTCTGTTTCATACCCTCCTTGAGTGTTTTGGCCTGACTGGAATGTGCCTTTAAACCCCCACAATGCCTCTTGCTCACCAGGACAGAGAACAGAAAAGGCATTTGTGAGCGTAGTGTGGAAACCAGTCTGGTATGCAAATGGAAATTTCCACTGAGAGCCAATGTGGCACAGCGGTTAGAATGCCAGACCAGGACTTGTGAGAACAGGGTTCCAATCCCCACTCAGCCAGGAAGCTCACTGGATGGCCTGATGCAAGCCTCTCAGCCTAACCTACCTCACAGGGTTATTATGGGATTAAATAAGGAGCGTGGGGGAAAGCATGTACCCCGCATTGAACTCCTTGGAGGAAAAGGTGGGCTATAAATGCAATAACAAGCAAACAAATTAATTAATCTGCTTGGTCACTGTGAGAACACAATGCTGGACTAGATAGACCTCTTATTAGGGCTTTATATCTCACCTGCTACCCCCCAGCAACCTATCTAACCAAGTCATGCTCCCCAGATTTCCAGAAAAGCTCACAGTTTGTGCAGGGGTTTTGCTGCTGAGACATTTTCTCAAGAGGAGTCTCCTCAGGAGAAGTCAGGGAAAATCCAGCTGCGAGCTTCTGCTCTTTGGGGTCAGTTTTTGCCATCTCCCAGTGCGGCAACACTCTCATCCCGCCCAAAAAAATATCTGAGGAGGCCAGGTGCCACGTCTTGTGATCGATTATGTGCCCCCCTCCATATTTTATTGCAGTTGGCACCCCTGAATAAAATCAACAAGTAACAGAGGAATTGACCGGAGCCACCAAGAAACTGTTGGTGCAGGTTAGCTGAGGAAAGAAGCAGCGGAAACACGAGGAAACACGATGTGAAATAGGCATTTGGACCACCATCTGCCACTGGTTATGAATTTGCATCATTAGTAAAGTGTCGCTGAAGCGCTGCCTCTTCTCACCAGCTGGGGGCAGACTTTGGAGGAGCTTGCCCTGCTGCTCCTACCTATCAATCAAGTCTAGCTTTAATGCAGAATTCAGAGTCTCAAGGGGAGATCTTCTGAAGCGGGTCATGGCTGTCTACTCTTAAGGATGCTAGCTTGCCCTTTCGCATTTCAGTTTGGCTTTTTGTTCTTTGATCCTGCCTGGCGCAGCTAACAAGCTGAAAAGCAGTCATCACCGCTTGGCTTTTTGAAAAGGGCTCCCTTTTGGCTGATGGCTTTCATCCTTTCTGCTTTCTAGCAAGGGCAGCTCATCATAGCTGTTGACGAAACCTCTTGCCACGATGAATGGCCTCTCAAACACACGGTGGAAAATAGTTCGCATTAGACATCGCGGCATCAGTAAGAGAACATTGAAAGCTGCCTTGATGGACTCGTGGTCCATCAAGCTAGTGTTGTCAACTCTGACGGGCTCTGACGTTTCCGAGCACAATTCAAAATGTTGGTGCCGACCTTTAAAGTCCTAAACAGCCTCAATCCAGTATACCTGAAGGTATACTGCGTCTTCACCCTCCACCTTCCCTCGCTGCGAGAAGCCAAGTTACAGGGAACCAGGCAGAGGGCCTTCTCGGTAGTGGCACCCGCCCTGTGGAACGCCCTCCCACCAGATGTCAAAGAGAAAAGCAACTACCAGGCTTTTAGAAGACCATCTGAAGGTGGCCCTGTTTAGGGAAGCTTTTAATGTTTAATAGGTTATTGTATTTTAATATTCTGTTGGAAGCCGCCCAGAGTGGCTGGGGAACCCCAGCCAGATGGGCGGGGTATAAATAATATATTATTACAGTGGTACCTCGGGTTAAGAACTTAATTTGTTCTGGAGGTCTGTTCTTAACCTGAAAGTGTTCTTAACCTGAGGTACCACTTTAGCTAATGGGGCCTCCTGCTGCCACTGCACGATTTCTGTTCACATCCTGAAGCAAAGTTCTAAACCTGAGGTAATATTTCTGGGTTAGCGGAGTCTGTAACCTGAAGCGTATGTAACCCAAAGCATATGTAACCCGAGGTACCACTGTATTATTATTATTATTGGTTATTTTTTCTCGTAGGGCTGTTTCCCATACTATTTGGTACCATTGGTCCATGCTTACTCCTGACAGGTCTCTCCAGTGTCTAACATCTTCCAAGACAACAATGCCAATTTTATTATTATTATTATTATTATTATTATTATTATCATCATCATCATCATCTGTGCCTCCCCGGTTGGAGGCAGAAATGCTTCTGAATACCAGCTGCTGGAAACAACGGAAAGGGAGAGGGCTTCTAATGCTCATGTTTTGCTTTTGGGTTTCCCACAGGCTTCTAGTTGGCCCCTGGGAGAACAGGATACTGGACTAATGGGCCATTGGCCTGACCCAGCAGGCTCTTCCTATGGGCAGGGGCTCCAAAAAAGGGAGAAAGTTTGAGAAATGGCTCCATTAAGTCGTTTTCATTTCCTTCCCTCTAAGCTGAAAAGGCACAAACGCCGCAACCTTTCCGCATCAGGGGGTTGCTCCAACCCCTTGATCCTTTTCAGCTGCCCTTTCTGGAATTTCCCCCCTGCCTGGCAACATCCAATATCCTGGCACTGTGGATGCCTTTCAAATCAACGCAAGCCCATTCGGCAACCTCTCCTGCGGTAGTAAAGGAGGACAAATATTGCAGCCCTTTTTCATTTGTTTTGGGACAAGACAAGAATTTCCATTTCTCACCGGCCTCTTGGGTGACAAAAGAAACAGCAGCAGCAGCAAGCAGCCGCGTTTGGACTCAGACGGTTTTAATTTCAGGCTGAGTCATAAAGCGCCGCTCATAAAGCCGGCATCTGTTTCTTTGCTCTGCGTGATCTGCAGCCGAAGGCGAAGCGAAGGCACGCTGGCCACGGAAAAAGAGAGCGGGCAAGACAAAAGGCGGACAGGCTCTGATGGGCAGGGCGTCAAACCTTTCAGTTAGCAAGCAGCAGAAGGCAGTGTATAGAGTGGTGGTAGTTGGAGGAAGGCATCCTTTTCCATTTGTGACCCAGAGCAGCGTTTCCATTCCGCTGCAATCCGCCTTCTGCCAAAAAAGTCGACTGTTCACTTCATTGTTGGCTGCAGCAAAGCCACGTGATTAATTACGCAGCCTTTACATTATTCCACCCCATTCATCTCATTGTAAAGGAAACACAGTGCAAATGGGCAGTGAGGGGGAGTGCAATCAATTATGCACTATTTGCATACTGGAACGAACAATAACAGTGGCCACCGATTGTATTTGCTGCATTGATTTCTGGTGCAGACATGGAATGAAGACGTGAAAATCAGATGTTTATTTAGTTATTGGATTTACAGCCCATATTTTTCCCCAGGGAGCTCAAGGTCATGCAAGGTAGGTTAGGCTGAGAGACTGTGACTGGCCCAGAGTCACCCAGTGAGCTTCACTGATGAGTGAGGATTCGAACCCTGGTCTCCCAAGTCTTGTTCCAGCACTCAAACTATTATACCACACTGGCTCTCTGTTTCTGTTGGGATTCTCCATTAGCCCTAGTGGTGGTAGAATCATAGAATTTTAGGGTTGGAAGGGACCCCAATGGTCATTTAGTCCAGGCATCCCCAACCTTTGGCCCTCCAGATGTTTTGGACTACAATCCCCATCATCCCTGATCACCGGTCCTGTTAGCTCAGGGGTCAGTAAACTTTTTCAGCAGGGGGCCAGTCCAATGTCCCTCAGACCTTGTGGGGGGGGCAGACTATATTTTGAAGGGGGAAAAATGAACGGATTCCTATGCCCCACAAATAACCCAGAGGTGCTTTTTAAATAAAAGCACACATTCTACTCATGTAGAAACACCAGGCAGGCCCCACAAATAACCCAGAGATGCATTTTAAATAAAAGGGCACATTCTACTAATGTAAAAACATGCTGGTTCCCGGACTGTCTGCAGGCCGGATTTAGAAGGGCCTTAGTTTGCCTACCCATGTATTAGCTAGGGATCATGAGACACAAACAAAAAAGAGAAAAAGAGAAACAGAATCCGTGCAGAAAGGCAAACAAAGGGGGGAGGGGGGAAACCCCAAAACTCTATATTTTACGAGGTTGTTACTGTACTGTATCAGATCTTAACCTATTTACAGTATTTGTAAGAATGGATTCCAAATATCATTGAATTTGTCCATGGCAAGTCTGCGTTTACATGAAAGTTGTTCATATGTTGCGAGTTTGTATAAGTCTTCAATCTAATCATAGAAGGGAGCCACATTTTTATTTTTCCAGTTTATCAGTATCAGTCTTTTTGCTGTGGTATGGGCAAGGAGAGTCCGCTCGTATTGTCCTTTTGTAAGGTTCCATGTGCTAGGTATATATCGTATTTTTTTGCTCTATAAGACTCACTTTTTCCCTCCTAAAAAGTAAGGGGAAATGCGTCTTATGGAGCGAATGCAGGCTGCGCAGCTATCCCAGAAGCCAGAACAGCAAGAGGGATTGCTGCTTTCACTGCGCAGCGATCCCTCTTGCTGTTCTGGCTTCTGAGATTCAGAATAATTTTTTCTTGTTTTCCTCCTCCAAAAACTAGGTGCGTCTTGTGGTCTGGTGCGTCTTATACAGTGAAAAATATGGTAATTCAAGAGGATATTTTGCTCTGCAAATGTAAGGTTGTTCCGTACAGTTCTGTTGATGGTTTCAGTTACCTCCTGCCAAAAATCTGTCAATATAGGACAATAAAAAAACATACGTTTTAGAGAAGCATTATCCCTATTGCATCTCCAACAGTTAGATATCCACACTCTACATTTGAAGGGGGGGCAGCTGTTTGCAGACTCAGTATTGCCTACTACACTGACTCTCTGCAGCTGTCCAGGGTTTCATGGACCACATATAAACTCCGTCTCCAACTCCTTGAAAGATTCCATTAATGGCGTCTCCCAAAAATTTTACACATCACTTGGGAAGACAGGCGAACTAATATCAGTGTACTGGAAGAAGCAAAGATCACCAGTGTCAAAGCAATGATTCTTCAACATCAACTTCGTTGGACTGGTCATGTTGTGCGGGTGCCTGATGATCGTCTTTCCAAGCAACTACTCTATTCTGAACTTTAAAATGGAAAGCGTAATGCTGGTGGTCAACAAAAGAGGTTTAAAGACTGTCACAAGGCAAATCTAAAAAAATGTAGTATAAACATTGACAACTGGGAAACACTGGCCTGCGAGCGCTCCAGTTGGAGAACAGCCTTTACCAAAGGTGTCATGGGCTTTGAAGACACTCGAACTCAGGACGCAAGGGAGAAACGTGCTAAGAGGAAGGCATGCTTGGCAAATCCACACCGTGATCAACTCCTGCCTGGAAACCAATGTCCTCACTGTGGAAGGACGTGTGGATCCAGAATTGGCCTCCACAGTCACTTATGGACTCACTGTTAAAACCGTGTTTATGGAAGACAATTTTACTTGGCTACGAGTGATCGCCAAAGAAGAAGGAAGAAAGAAGATTCCCCAGCCCTACCTGGAGATGCTGGGGATTGCGCCTGAGACCTTCTGCATGCAATGCAGGTGTTCTATTACATAGAGACTTTAATGCCATTGCTGGACATTTCTCAAACCCTTTTGAGAAACCCCCAAGTCCCCTTGAGCAGAACTGGGAAGCCATCCAGGTGAGAGCTGTCACCTGAATCTCCCGCCGGCCTGTTCCCTGGGTAAGAGCTTGAGGAGCTGTCACCAGGCCGGGCAGACATAATGGATAATTAAACCTTTAATCTGATGACTGCTAGCTTCTCTCGGCAATTTATCAGGGCAGGCTGGCAGGCTGGAGATTGAATATACAACAGGGAAGAAGAGGCAGAGCAGCCAAATGGGAACTCAATCTGTAGGCAGTTTCATTTTGTCATTTCATTTCCCTTTATGAGATTGAAGCCGATGGACGAGCCCAAGGAGCAATGGCTCATAGAAGCTCACTTATTTCCCCCTCCTGGTTTACTTTTCGAACGAGGAACGTTTGTCATGCTGAGAAACTCGACGCCATGATGACGGGCTTGTGGTAGGATCCTGGAGCATTAAGGCAGGGGTGGCGAACCTCAGGTCTGGGGGTGAGGTCAAATGTGGCCCTCTGTCTGGCCCTTGAGACTCCTTGCCCAGGCCATGCTCCTCACAGGGCCTGATTTGCACCCTTTATAGAGGTTCTCCCTTGTTGGGACATTGTCAGGGAGCCAGCCAGCAATAAATCACACGGAGTAAATAAGGTTAATTCTTTATTGAAAAAAAACCAAGGCTGCTTAGGGGAGCCAAGCCTAATGAGCACAACTCTTATCAGTAGGTCTTGCCTCAAGGAGACAGTTATGAAGGCTGAAGACAGCTGCCTAAATTCCCTCCTCTCCCAGGTACCTTCCCAAGCAATCTGAGACTCCTGTCTCTCCTCTGCCCTCTTCATACCTCTTTTGGTCCTGGGATACTGGGGGGTGGGAGGCAAACTTGTCACAGCAGGAGGGGAAAACACCCTGGCGTCTTCACCAGCCTGATTCATCTCTGCCTCTTGGCCTCCCTCCTCTCTGGTTTCTGATTGTGGATTTCTCTCTGCCACCCAGCAAGATTCCTGGTTGGGGTGGGTGGGATGAACCCACGACTCCCAAGTTCACGCTAACCATGACATCACACTGGTTCTTCAGTACAGCTGGGAATGTCCCTTGCTTGAATCCTCGGAGATCCACTCCCAGTTCTCAGCTAAACAGATTGATAATGGGACATGGCCAAAGGTAGTCTCATGTGTTTGCTAGGACCATAGGAACCTCAAATTCTTGCTGGTTCAGGCCAAAGTCCCATCGAGTCCAGCATCCTGGGGTCACTGTGGCCATCCAGATGCCTCAATGGGAAGACCACAAGCACACTTGGAGCCCCCAGCAAGTAATATTCAGAAGCCCCCTTAGTTCCACTCTATGTAGAGCATCAGTTTTGAGCTGGAGCAGTGGTTTGTTACAAGCTTGTTTCATTTCTAATTTCCTGCTTGGCCGAGTATAAATGCTACCTCTTGAAGCTGCCTTTCCATTGGCAAAAGTGAGGGATGGGTTTGGCACAGAGGGAAGGAGGCGCGTCATCCAACTCAGGTTGCCCCTCACCATTGCTCATCCGTCAAGTCTCATCTTTCCCCTCCAACATCAAACTCCATTTCTTTTCCTCCCCTCTGGCTCTAACAGTATCTGTTCAGTATTAATTAACCTAGAGAGGGCGTCAGATACAAATAACATCACCTTTTTGACATCAGGGTGTAGAGAAGCGGTGAAAGGAGTGGGGAGAACTGAGTGAAATGAATGCTTTGCAAATGGTGAAGGGCTGAAAATTAATTTTCGGTGAGCACAGTGGTGGCTATTAGAGTGACTATTATCTTTTCAGGGGCAGAGTATCTGCTTTGTATGCGGAAGCCCCAGATTCAATCCCTGGCATCTCCTGGTAGGAGCTTATAGTTCCCCTCCTCCCTCTTTCCTCATGGCTGAGTGAGGGATTTGTTTGTTTGTTTGCTTGTTTATTATATTTATAGAAGTCGTTTTTCTTCCAAGGAGCTCAAGGTGGTGTATGTGGTTCTCCTCTTCATTTCATCCTTACAACAACCCTGTGAGGTAGGATAGGCTAAGAGATGGCCCAAGGTCACCCGGTGAATTTCAGGGCTGAGTGGGGATTCGAACCCTGGTCTTTCCCAGGTCATAGTCTGCCACTCTAACTTTTACACCACACTGGATTTGAACCCTGGTCCTCTCGGGTCTAACACCCCCCCCCCGCTTTAAATGTATGGTGTGAATGTGGCCAATAGCAAGTTGTAGAAGTGGAGCACACATTATTTGTTGTGGTAATGATTTACTTATTCATTTTGTATAATTTATACACTGCTTGATTGCAAAAAACAAAAAACCAACCCACGAACAAACCTCTACAAAAAACAAAACAGTAAAATCAATAAAAGTCACAGCCGGACTTCAAAAGTTAAAATACTAAAACAGATTGAAATTAGCTTAACTTTATAAGCATCTGGGAAGGTTTGTCTAAACAGGAATGTTTCCAGCAGGCGCCAAAGAGCAAGTACAGCGAAGGTGGTTAGTGTGGTGCTGTGAATGCCAAGGTTGCAGGTTCAATCCAGGTCACATATTCCTGTGTTGCAGGGGGTTGGACTAGATGATCCTTAGGATCCCTTCTGTTATCAGAAAAAAAAAAAACCTGCTCCTTTTTCCTTATGGGGCATCCAAGAGCCCGTATAGAGTCCTTAAGTGGGTTCCCTATTGGTAGGAGAAAACAGAGGCCAACCAGAATATATTGAGAAGCAAAGCAGCTAGTAAGCCTGATCTTTATTCAAGGAACTGTTGCAACAGGGTCCCCACTCACCACACGCAGGAGGGAGGAGAGAACCCAGAACAATGGTGCACAAGCCCTTATATAGACCTTTGAAATTGCCCACCCTGTAGCCCAAGACCACCCCCGCAACATCATCCATACAACACAGAAGGAGGCGGTCTACAGCAGAAATCCTGTTTGCCAAGATACCTGATAATGGTCTGTGATAGCATTACCTGGGCAGTCTGGCCATTCTTTTGTGATGGTTAATAGTTTAGTTCCTGAATCCAGGTCACCCTATTCATACACAAATACGCCCTTCAGACAGGATTTGCAAGCAAAAAGACAATGGGAAGGCTTTCCCCATTTGCCTCCCTTACTGCAGAGGAATATTTGAGGTCACTGGGAGAGTCAAAACAGCTTCAGGATTGCTCTCCTGTACTATTTCAGACACGTGGTTTATATACTTACGTATGTGTTTGCCTTGTACATTTATGAACGTTTAATTTATATTTGAGACCTTAGAATTCTGATAACACTTCCAACTCTACGGTCCTATGATTCAATAGGCGGCCTGGGTAGCAATGAACTGGTCCCAATTCTTTCCCCTTCCCACGATGTCAGCCTCAGCTTCTGACTCACTCTCTCTCCGCCCCCTCGCAGGTGCTCCACTCCACAGCCTCCTACTGCAAGACCATCTTGGACGACAACAGCTCCTCCGCCCTGATCATCCTCGGCTTCGTCATCATGTCTCCGCTCATCGTGGTGGCTATGGCCATCTACTGCGGCCTGGTCAGGCGTCTCCGCCTCTTCCTGTGCTTCCAGCCTTGGGCCCGGGCCACGTACAAGGGCGTGAAGTGGCGGTGGTACGAAGACGGGGGGTTGTGCGGCTGCGCCAAGGAGTGGAGCAGCCAAGTCAAGGCCTGGGTTTAAGCGCTTCCCGCTCCTTGGTCTGCCTGCCAGCACACCCCTCTCTCCGGTCCTCCAAATCTCATTTTCCCCATAAGGGCACCATGAAGAAGCAGGCAACGGCCTAACCCATCTAGAGGAAACTTCCATGGCTTCTTCTTCTTCCATCAGGGGGCGCTGGGCCTCCCATTGATTCTGGAACTTTCCGTGAGATGGAGCATCTTGCTTTCAGCATGAACTCTGAGGTTCATCTTAGGGCGTGAGTGTGGGGGACATTTTCAACCATTTCTTCTGCCAAGCAACCTTCTGGGGTGGGCGGAGCAACAAATGGGCGGAGCAACAAATGCAAATTTTACCTTTGGAAAGCGGCCTACACACACACCTCCATCCAGGCAAGCAAGAATCAGAATTCAAGGACACATTCCAGGCCAGGCAAGAACATTTGAGGAGGATGCAAGGCTCAGTTGGTGCAGTGTGTATGGCAGGGTGTATCAAGGACCAGATAGAGAAGCCCGAAGGGCCACATGCTGACCTTGGTCCTGACCTTGGTTCTCCACTCTCACCTTAGGGTAGTTACCACTCTCTTCACTTCAGCCCCTCCATGCAAGGGTAACAACATACCCTCCAACGTTCCTCAGATGAAAATAGGGACATTCTATTCTACATCAGTGGGACACAGGTGGCACTGTGGGTTAAACCACAGAGCCTAGGACTTGCCGATCAGAAGGTCGGCGGTTCGAATCCCTGCGATGGGGTGAGCTCCCGTTGCTCGGTCCCTGCTCCTGCCCACCTAGCAGTTCGAAAGCACGTCAAAGTGCAAGTAGATAAATAGGTCCCGCTCCGGCAGGAAGGTAAACGGCGTTTCTGTGCGCTGCTCTGGTTCGCCAGAAGTGGCTTAGTCATGCTGGCCACATGACCTCGAAGCTGTACGCAGGCTCCCTCGGCCAATAAAGCGAGATGAGCACCGCAACCCCAGAGTTGGCCACGACTGGACCTAATGGTCAGGGGTCCCTTTACCTTTATCTTATTCTACATCAGTATCACTGATGTAGCATTTCCTCCACGTCAAGTACAAAAGTTATTAGAGGAAACACACAAATCTGCAGTATTTTAAGCACAGAAATCTTTGAATTTATGTACTGCATTTAGGGAAGCCTAATCAATAAATACAACTCACTGGCAGTGGTACTAATGTAGAATAGAATGTCCCTATTGTCATCTGAGGAATGTGGGAGGGTATGTAGCAAGAATGTTCTGCCTTGCAGGGCTGTTGTCACAATTTCTGATTTAAGTTCTATCAATGCTAAGCAATATTATTTCTAGTGCTCCTCTGGCTATGCTGAACAGGACAGCTGTCTTCTGAACCCACTGCCTTCTGGAGCTCCCACAACCGCTAAGAGACCAGGCTCCCACGGCAGCCACCCTTCAACTGACAGCTTGACAGGACCCTGACAGCTTCCCCGCCCCCTTAATGGTAGTCATCCATATTTTGAATCAGTATCATATACCAAAGATCCTAATCTTTGGGTTGTACTCCATTAAGTCCTGCTCAGAGTAGACCTATTAGAATCAATGTACCTACATTATACCACATTCACACCAGACATTTAAAGCACTATGACACCACTTTAAACATTAACGGCTTCCTTCAAGGAGTTCTGGGAGCTGTTTTCTATTAAGGGTGCTGAAATTAGTTCAAAGACCCTCCTATTTCCCTCACAGGACTACAATTCCCAGAATTCTCTGGGAAGAGGAATTGATTGTTAAACTTCTCTTGAGAAGGTATCACTCCCATCTACATGTCTTATACGTAACTGGGACCCACCTAGTTTAAACAAACCCATCTACTACCACACAGGTCATATGAGTTTCAGGTTTGGGGAAGAACCAGAATATCCAAGTAGGGATTACCAGCTGCCATTTTGGAAAAAGAGAAAGCCACTATATTTCCCACGTGCTTTGTCTTCACCACTGCCTGGCATGCTTGGTCTCAACATAGCTGCCTTCATGAGGAACAAAATGCACAATAGCTGTGAGGATGTGATTAAACCGACGTTCTTTCCCCTGAAAGTGAAGAGATCCGGTTCCAATAAACTGTGAACTGCCAACACTCTTCCTTGAAGGAAATGTGTACTGGTCCTGTGGGTTACCTGAGAGGCGAGGTCCAAGTCTGGTCCATGGTCAAAGGTGCAACGTGGAGGCAGTCCGTAGTAGCTGAAGCTGGGTGCAGGGCAGGGAGTCGGGTGAAGTCAGTAAAAGGCTTGCAAGCAGGGAACCAGGGCGGGTCAGGAGCTCAGGCAGGAAAGCAGGACAGGGTTCAGGCAGGAACTAGCAACCAACAATGTTGCTCCCGCAACTTGGGACTGGGGCTCGCTGGCTTTTATCTGCCCCGAGGCATAGGGCGGCCCCGATCCTCTGGTGACTCGCCTCTCCTGGCCTGGAGGTGAACACTCCTCCTGTGGGAACTTAGTTCCCTCCGCCTCTCTGCCCTGAGCCTCTGCAGCTCTGGAGAAACTGGAGGGTTACTGGACCCAGAGGCAACCTCAGCTTCCACTGACGGGGCTGAGAGTGGAGCACCTGCAGGCAATGGGTCCTCCATCACCTCAGGAGCCAGAGCAGACTCAGCTGGTGCCTGTGCTGAGGATTCAGCACAAGTGAGGACTCTTCAGGCTCATGCCCCAGCCCCGGCTCAGCTGGTTCTGGAGGCCAGGAATCCTGTGCAGCCTGGGATCTCTCAGGTTCAGCATCCGAGTCTGAATCCCAGGCCATCACAAAATGTTTTCCTGGTTGATGTCTTCAGAGGACCTCCTGTCCCAGAACCCATGAGACATGTCCTCTAGATGCACGATCCATTCACACAGACATCAGGCCTGCAAGTGTGTCCAATGGCTGGATGGGAATTGTGGTTCAGCCACAGTTGTAGGGCCAAAGATTCCCCACACCCTGCTCAAAGTAGACCCAGCTTGGCAGGAGGCTTCTCCTCTATCTTCACGCTACCTTTTAACAGAAACAAATGTGCACGCAGTATTCTATGATCCATCCACTCGCCTTCCACAAATGCATATTATGTGCAGAACCTTTGGCTCATTTAAAGTGCATTTCTTTAACCTGTTTACAGTGGGGTGGAGGGGGAGCTAAAATCTCAACCCCCTTCTTTGAAATGGTGTGTGAAACTCTGCTGTCTGTTCTCTGTAACTCTTCCAGCTCCTGCTCCGATGTATAAATATGTGGTTGTCCTGGGCTCCACCTGTATGATTTCCATGTGATACCTGATGCTCCTGCAATCTCTGTCTATATATTAAATATCATTTTTATACTAATAGATTTCCATTATTCTCTTTTTTTAAACACAACAACAACAACACGTTTTTTATTTGTTTTTACAAATATGAATTTATAAGAAAACCAAATACCTGTACATATCCACATAAAGAGATTTCTCTGAATCTTGAGACTTCCCCTCCATGGGTCCTAATGTCAACATTTTCAACTGCATCTTATATCATAGTCTATATTTTATATCTATTCATATTGCCCATAGTGTTCGTTACATTACAAGTGTTGTTAAAATCCTGCTAATGTTTTAATTTGCTTTCAATGGTCTCCTAAATAAATTATATTTCCCTCCCATTCTTTCTTTAAAATTTTGTCTTCTTGGTCCCATTTTGGCATAGTCTAACAGCTTAGTTTGCCATTCCTTTCTGGTAGGGACTCTTCTTTCCATCACTGGGCTAGTAGTATCTGTGCTGCTGTTGTCGCATAAATAAAAAGTCTTTTCTGTTCCTTTGGTATATTGGTACTTACTTACAATTCCTAATAAGAAGGCTTCTGGGTGTTTTGTGTGTGTGTGTGTGTGTGTGTGTGTTTTACAAAAGTTATTTCAAACTTATTTTTCAGTTCATTATCTACCATTTCCCAGAAAACCTTTATTACTTTACATGACCACTACATATGTGATAAAAGGTACCTCCTTTTTCTTTACATTTCCAGCAGGTATTCATACTTGTTCTGTGCATTTTTGCTAGCTTACTAGGAGTCATATATGACCGGTACATCATTTTCATATAATTTTCTTTCAGCGTACTACATGCCGTAAATTTCAGGTCTGTTTTGCATAACCTTTCCCAATCTGCCACCTGAATATTATGCCCCAATAGATTTCCCTTATTCTCATCTCCCTCCTTCCCTTCCAGTAAATTCAGAACAACCAAGGAGGCAAGAGGATGCAGACATGGCTAGAGGAAGGGTTGACAACTTTTTGAGGCTCATGGGCGCGTTCGGATTTTGGAGCAAGGGCCATGAGTGTGACACCCCCCCCATCACTTTTCTCACCTCTTCAGGATCAAACCACTGTCTTCGGAGGGATATATAAATAAACTAGAAAGTACATGCACATTTTGCCTTTTAAGGAATGTGGGTAAAAGTCAGACCCAGTAGAATTATTCTGAGCCCTGAAAAGAACATAGAGCTGAAACAGGAAGTTGGGAAGAGCATCACTTGCCCCATTTCCTCCTTCAGCATTATGAAGTTTTCAATGCAGGTCATGACCAAGTGGGCAGTGAGCCCCCTTTGTGGGCACCAGGGCAAGACTTCAAGGGCACCATTATGCCCACAGATATTATGTTGACGAACCTGGGTTGAGAGAAATGTCAGCTCCCCCCTAGCAATATACCCTGATAATAGTCCATTAAGAAACTACGGTGTTAAGAAGTTTATAAATTTTGTGTGTGTGTGTGTGTGTGTGTGTGTGAGAGAGAGAGAGAGAGAGAGAGAGAGAGAAAGAAAGAAAGAAAGAAAGAAAGAAAGAAAGAAAGAAAGAAAGTTGTACACCATGGGTAGGCAAACTAAGGCCCAGGGGCCGGATGCGGCCCAATCGCCTTCTCAATCCAGCCCGTGGACGGTCCGGGAATCAGCGTGTTTTTACACGAGTAGAATGTGTCCCTTTATTTAAAATGAATCTCTGGATTATTTGTGGGGCCTGCCTGGTGTTTTTACATGAGTAGAATGTGTGCTTTTATTTAAAA